TTTCTTCCAAGACAGTGGACTTAAAACTCCAACCTTCCAGTTCACAGCCAAGTGCATTAACCATTTGTGCCACCCAGGGACTCCAGTTTCCTAATAGCAAATTATTCTGCTTTGCTTGCTATTTACCTAATTGGTCTAGACTTTAGAATGTAAATTATTTCCACTAGGTTTATGAGCCTCTTTGGAGGCGAAAGCATATGTAGGGTAGCCCTATTTCACAGGGTAACTGGAGCCAGTAAGAATAAGTCTGGGGGAGAAATGCGTTTGGGTCTTCTGGGTCCTTTTACTCAGGTGAAATGGATGCATATTTGAACGGCCGCTGTACAAAATGAAGAATTAAGGATTGTAGAGATGTTGAAAATCAGCAGTGTGCTCATAAAACCAAATGCGGAGAGTGGCGGTACAGTAAAAATGAACTGAATCAGGGGAATTTCTTTCTAGAAATTTGCAGTACAGCCTGGTTGGGCAGAAAGGTGAAACTACATGGTAGAACTCGGTGCTTTGTTTTGAGCCCATAATAGCCACTCAGTATATACTTATCAACTTGCATGGCCATTTGAAGAGATTAACTTGTCAGGTTTTAACTTGCTGTATTAGTTTTATAGAATTTCTCAAGCATTTATTAACCACATTCCCACTCAAATGGTCTTTATCGTTGCAACTTATATGGCCACATTAAAGAGCCTTTAAAATGTAATGGAAAGGAAATAACTTCTCTGAATCATTAAATGAATTAGAATTTAATACGTACGGCATTTCCACGCAAATACCACGCATTACACGGCCCTTTTCAAAGCATGTCCCCCATTTCCCACGAGCACTAGCATGTTATATGCACGTGCATGTTATTTACACGGGCCTGTTATGCAACACCACATTACTTATTTAAGTAGACACAAGCAGAAACACATACGTGACCTTTCTAGCTCGAATGGGGGCTATGGGAACCAGCGTGAGGTCAATTCGAGTGTCGGACAGAAAGCATGTTTCAAATCAGTGTCTTCTTCATTTGATCATTGCTCCACGGTAGTGACTAACATGACAGCCAGTGATGCCAATTCTTGGACCCGTGACCTAAATGAGGAACCTTAGCACTTATTTGACCTGGAGCATTTTGAAGACTAAAGCCTATACTTTAATGATGTATACAAACTTTACATTAAAGCTTGAGCCGGAGATGCCACTCAGCCTTCCATTAAAATATAATGAAACATCATCATAGGTGCCATTCATTTTCTAAAAACAAAATCAAGTGAGCTCAGAGAATGGCTTATTATTAATCCATATTAGTATTCTTTATTGGCTCATCAATACACATGGCATAATGTTCCGTATCCAGTTGTTTGCATTATATTGCGCATGCTAGTACGATGAGTGACATAATAAAAAACCAATATAGGGAACGATCCCTGGTTGCCTTTGGAATCTGCCTTTTGAGGTGGTGAGGTATTAATTGACAGACATAAGGATTGCATTTCGAGAGAGATGACCAGGCTTTATTCTTTCAAGATGCAGGAGCTCTGTGTGCAAAACCCTGGGCACGTGATCCCACAAGCCAGGAGTCCCTTCTTTTGTGCCCCAGATGGGTAAACACCACGTGGTGTACGGGATGTGGTCCAGATGACTTCAGGTCCCTTCTCACCCTAAGACTGGGGACTTTTGAAAGCGTCATTTACACAGGGTACCTGTCAGAAAGACCTGACAATCTGCTTCTGTCCAAGTCAAACCATCCGAACAAACGAACCCCATTGCCATTCCCACTCATGGCAACCCCATGTGACAGAATAGAATGCCACCCCACCCAGGGCTTCCAAAGCGGTCATCCTCCTGCAGAGTGGCTGGTGATTTGAATGGCTGAGGGCTTTAACCACTGTATCACTAGGGCTCCTTTCTATTTTGATTACAGCCAAGCAAATACTGGGGGTGAGGGGGCATTTCTACTCAGTAAACCATGGGGCTTTCTGTGAGCCAGAATCCCCTCGAGGAGGGCACACTGCTCTCCCCCCACCTCCCTTGCCCAGTACCTTTTGACTCTTCCTCGAGAGATTGACATGCAGGGCGCATTTTTCCACGAGACCAAAAAAAAAAAGAAATATCACACCTAAGAATGCATTGAAATTCTAAAGAACACTCAGCAGATTTTGGAAAGGATGGAAGGCCCTCCCTCCCAAGGCAGCCAATCTTAGCAACGTTTCTCCTATGGTTTCCCATAGTTCTCTTGTGCACGTCCCAGCCTGCCTCCAGAGAGGGGCCTTTCGTAGAAATGCCTGGTATTGCAATCAAAGTGAGGTGAGCTAGGCAGGCCACGGTGGCATGCCCATTGGTTCATTCTCCAGTCCATCCCCTTTCTATGAAGATCAGAGATAAGCAGAAAGAAAAACTAGACAACGGCAAAGCAAGAGCCACCCCGGGACACACACACACATTTGAAAAGCTAGACTATTGATTTTAGCCACAAGCCCCGAAGAACCTAATGCTGATGAGCTTGTGGCCAGAGGCATTCGAATCTCGCAGTATATAGGGAAAATCTCCAAATGGCCTCCGTTCCTTCTGTCCAGGTTTGGAGAAAATCCATGGACCGTGCTGCCAGCCTCTGGTTTGCCCACCCAGTGTGAAGAGCACCGTGCTGCAGCTCTCTTTCACGTCGATGACTTGGCCAAGGTGCTTTGGGCTTTGAAGTTGATGGCACATCTTCTCTCGCGCTTCATGTTTACTTAAAAGCAGTTCTCTATTTGATGTGGCTCTTATCGTTTGTGTAGGTATTTGTTTCATTTCCAGTTTAAAATCTGGATAGCATGGCGAGTTGTTGTAGCAGGCAAGGGGTTCTTTTAACAATGACCATGGCTACTGATCACTGCTAGGGCCTCTTCATTGCACTTCTGGAAGAAAGCAAATTTGTCATTTGTCCCAAAGAGGTTGCAATCTTTCACACTTAATGTTGTGAAACATACACAAAACCAGCATCTTGGGAGGGTGGAGGGAAGGTGAGGGAGAAAGGGGAACAGATTAATTACAGGGATCTACATAGAACCTCCTCCCTGGGGGACGAACAGCGGAGAAGTGGGTGAAAGGAGACCTCGGATGGTGTAAGATATGACTAAATAATAATTTATAAATCATCAAGGGTTCATGGTGGAGAGGGGAGCGGGTAAGGAGAGGAAAGTATGAGCTGATGCCAAGGGCTGAAGTAGAAAGCAAATGTTTTGAGAATGATGATGGCAACATATGTACAAGTGTGCTTGACACAATGACTGGATGTATGGACTGTGATAAGAGTTGTACCAGCCCCCAATAAAATGATTTTAAAAAAAGAATTACAGTCTCTGAAACCTATAGAACAGCTCTGCCTTATTCTATATATACTATAGTGTCACTATGAGTCCATGGCAGTGAAAACCAAAAACAAAAACCAGTATCCAGACCAACTCACTGCCATCGAGTCTACTCCTACTCATGGGAACCCGATGAGGACAGGGGCGAACGGGCCCCGTGGGTTTCCAAGACTACAACTCTTTACGGAGTTAGAAAGCCCAGTCTTTCTCCCACAAAGTGGCTGGTCCTTTTGAACTACCAACCTTGCGGATCACAGCCCAACGCATACCCACTACATCACCGGGCCTTCTATTCGGTTGTAGCCATAGCCTAGCTCCAAGGTCGAAATAAGACATCCTCGGCTATTCTTGTATTGTTTTCAGTCATTTTCCTGTGTTGTTGTACACCAACTCTCTGGTGGTTCATTTAACACCCCCGCTCTCTTGTCCCTCTCTCTTTCTATGCCCATGCCTCTCTCCGAAGGGCTATAGGGAGGCATCCCGGGATGCTACTGTCTGAATCCTTTAGGCCCTTAAGGTCAACTCAGATGCCCCCAGTATATGTCAGAGAGGTCCCTGAAGAAATTGTTTTCATTTCACTTACCTACTGCTGCTTGGCTGATGCCAACTGATGACAGTGACCCGGCCTGGTAAGACAGATGAGAACTATCCATAGGGTTTCCAAGGCTGGAATCTGTACTGAAGTAGACTGCCTCGTCTTTCTTCCAAGGAGAGATTGGTGGGTTCATACCACGGACTTTAACCACTGTACTCCCCAGAAGTTATTTTGTTTCATTTCTACATTTTCCCAGGCAGTTTCCTTGCAATATCTTGCAGCTAGGTAGAGAGGCGAAAACAACGCCGCCCCTCTGCCAAATTTTTCCCCTCTCCTATGTTTGAAATAAGCTTATATGTCACTAAGGGCTTCCAGTTCATTTCAGACCAATATTTAGGTCTGAGGAGTAAGGACTCTGGAGCGATTTTTTTTTTTTTTTGGTGTGGGGAGGCGAGTTTAAAGAAGCACACTGTATATAGTTGTACAGCCCATTTCAAATTGAAATCAAGAACACTATTTAACGCCGCCCTCCTCCATATATGTGGTTCTTTTTCTCCCTCCCCCATCCTTTCTCATTCTTGGCCATATAAAATAATGCCTTTGGAAGACATCTATCCTGGGGTCGGTTTGCCATGGAAGGGAGGCATGATGGACATTGGTTTAGATTCACGTTGAGAGGAAGAATGTATGTGTGCTTATGTGTTTTGCAATGACTCCCGAAGAATTGTTGGTTTTGGGAAAAAACACACCCAAAAATATTTTGGTCTCTTACACGCACGCACACATGTAAGTGCCTTTGGGGCCTGGGTTTGATTTCAGTTGTGCACCTAGGGTTTTCAACGGATGCTTTTTTTAAAACTTTGATTGCCAGGCCTTTATATCATGGTGCCTCTGGGTAGCCTTGAACCCTCAACCTTCCATTAAGCAAAGCGAGTAAATGGTTTGCACCACCCAAGGGTACCTATCAATGATGGGCTAAGTCAAGATTACTTGCAGGAATTCTCCTCTGGCTACAAACACACACAGTGGCCGCATTCACTCCGTGACTGTCTTCCGTTTCAAATCCCCCTAGGAAGCGCTCCAGTATTTCATTACTGAAAACCTCTTAACACGCCCCCCCCCTTTCATTTTAGAATTCTTCAAAGAACTATTGGAAAATGCAGAGAAATCCCTGAATGACATGTTTGTGAAGACATATGGCCGCTTATACATGCAAAATTCGGAGCTCTTTAAGGATCTCTTTGTTGAGTTGAAGCGCTACTACGTGGTGGGGAACGTGAACCTGGAAGAAATGCTGAACGACTTCTGGGCTCGCCTTCTGGAGCGGATGTTCCGCCTGGTGAACTCGCAGTACCACTTCTCCGACGAGTATCTGGAATGTGTGAGCAAGTACACGGAGCAGCTGAAGCCCTTCGGCGACGTCCCTCGGAAGCTCAAGCTGCAGGTCACCCGGGCCTTTGTTGCCGCCCGGACTTTCGCGCAAGGCCTGGCTGTTGCCAGAGATGTTGTGAGCAAAGTCTCAATGGTAAGTGTATTTGTTTTTCCAGGATCGTGGCTCCTTTTCGTTCATGGTCCCAGGAAGTTGGGGCAAAGGTAGGCAAATCAAGAGACAGAAAGCCGCTGGCTCAATCATCAGCTTCGCCTCTCCTCTGCCCTGCCCCTCCCTCTTCCTTTCCAGACTGAGTTCTTTCCCCTGCTTAGACCTCTAACGAATATTACGATGGGGCCTCCTCGTGCATCATGAGTATTCCTTTCAGTGTTTGGGGGGGCGTAGTTTGCTTTATCCCATGGATTCCTGGAAACGGGATGTGTGTCAGTGTGCAGCCTTCCCATCAGAAAGGGTCCAGCTCCCGCTCTATTCCCCTCCAGAGAAAGGAGCCCCCGCACATTTGGTTGTCGTGAGTAGCGGCGATATTGGAGTCTTGGCCTCTATTAGTTCCAGTCTAGGCAGAGCGTTTACGACCCACACACATGTGTTTCCTCGTTACAAGATGTGCTCCCAGCCCTCGAGAAAGACAAAGCTTTCAGGGACCATGACTGTGGACCACCCGGCTCTCGCCTCTGGCTTTGTTTATTGCATTACCTGTGGCCCCGGGGTTGCTCCTGACGCCTGACGGCCCCAGCCCGCTGTGTCCTGCAGTTGAACTGCTTCAGAGGGTTTTCCAAGTTGATTTCAGTTATCTGTAAAACAGTGTTTCTGACTCGCAGATACTGTTTTAAATTGTTGTGAGGGACAGGATTGGCTCTTCCGTCTCAAAACTTTCCTGACTCCGGGTCTCGACTGGGGCTTTGCAAAAGGTGTTTGCAATCAGCTTAGGGGGTTCTTCAGGGGCCCCCTGGATGTGGCCAAGGGGTGAAGGGTAGAGAAGAAGCTGTCCTTGTGTTTCATGCTCCTCCCAGAGAGGTTCTGTGGTCTTTGATTGAATGTGGTTGTAAAGTAGGATTTCAAGGGGTGAAACATTCTAGTACTCTCTCACCACCACCACAACAAAAAACCACAACCTTACCTTGGAACACTTCTTAAAGATCTTCCACCTATATCCTTCTAGGAACTTAACACCAGTAAAGAGGTCAAATGTATCAGGGCAACGTTGTCTGTAAGATGCATATTAGTAGGACTAGTCTTAGAACTGTTCCCTCTAGGTCCACGGAAGAAAAGCTAGTTTGGCCTCCCTCTTTACAAAGTCTAAGACACGAAGACTTCTACCTTGACCGTTTCGTTCTGAGAAGTGTCCGACTCAAACATGAGTAGCAATACAAACAACAATATGTCAAGCCAATTGCTTATCAGAGTTCATATAGAGCCAGGGTAGCCACCTCATGTATTGGCCCAAAGCAGACGAGGTACTGGCCCACCCGGGAGGCGCTGATTAACACTGATACCCAGACAGAAGGGGTTACTGTTGTCTGAGCAGCCCAGCCTTCATCAAGGTGAAGATAGGACTTGAAACAGTAGTATGCTGTTTGAAGTAACTGCTTACAGGGTATTTCATTAGCGCTCGATGATCATAAGGATTCGTTGATTGACCTCATTCTTTTAAATGTTACCACTCAGTGTATTATTAGGGAAGAGACCGGGTACAATTTGGGATCCAAATCAACTTGGAAGTACGAGGAACGAGTCAGGACGCAGGCCCTTCTCCAGAGGCTTTCATAGCTCTGGTGAACAAAGGCAGCTTGGTTTCAGGGCGGCGGACCGCCAAGGCCACCCCAACAGGTGCTGCAGAAGAGTGCTTGAGCGAGCAGAGGTGAGCTAACAGGAAACATACTTTCCCCTGCAGCTCGTTAATGAGGGCTTCACAGAAACTGACCAGAGACAGGGCATGCAAGGTACAAAATCCTGAGGATGGAGCGAGTTTAGTATTGTCAAGGAACCCAGGAAGACCTTGCTACACGCCAGTGGCCTCGTCTGTAGGGCTTATTCATTCTTTACTTGTGGCCTCTGTCACTGCTAGACCATTCATTCACTGCTTTTCTTCTGGATAGTTTCTTGAAAAATTGCAAGTGTTTGCTGGTGTTTGCTGGTGCGGTGGCCAACGAAAAGTTCGGCAGTTTGAATCCACCAGTCAATCCTTGGGAGAAAGGTGGCAATCTACAGTCTTAGATACCCCATCGGGCAGTTCTATTCCATCCGTGAGGTTCACCAGGATTTGGGATGAACTTGAGTGTACCGGGCCCTGTTTTTGTTACTTGAGGGTGAGGCTAGGAGCCCCAACAGTGGAGGGATGAAAGCTCCTAACCAAAAGGTTGGCAGATTGTACCTACAGTCTGATCTGTGGGAGAAAGATGTGGCATCCTGCTCCGAGAAAGATGGCAGCCTTGGAAATGGTGAGTCACCCTCCAGTTAATGGCAGCGCGTTGGCGTGGGCATGAGGGTAAGTAAGGAGATGATTCCTCATGGGGCTGCTCAGGTTCCTAAACAGTGTACAATGGATGCACATCAAAGTTAACCCCCTCATACAGTTGCTTGCTTGCTTTCTTTCTTTCTTTCTTTCTTTCTTTCTTTCTTTCTGTTGCCCTCTTTCAACAGGGCCTTACTTACCCTTCTCGGGCTGAGGAAGGCACCAGGCTGTTTCATGGATTGTGTGTGTGTACATGTGTATGCATGCTCATACAGAAGAAAAAGGGAGTGGAAAGCCCTTTGAAAGTGGGTTCTTTATATGAATCCTCTCCTTTCCTTTGAGTTCCAGGAACAGGCAGCTGATGCAATCCCTCACTTTGCAGGGTCGGAGTCACATTAGGGAGCTCAAATTCTAGAACCTCCTAAGGTGGCCAAGCAATGTGGCGGCGGCAGGGTGGAGCCCAAACAAAGCATGAGGTTTAGAGACAGTTCATTACAGGTTGAATGGTGCATGAGTGCTTTGGTCTACCCCGCCTCCCAGGATTGGGAGAGTAAGCAGGGGCTGCGTCCTTCAGACCTGTCCCTCGTGACATAGTTCTCAAAATTAACTGTGGGAAATCAATAAGATGTGATCTTTAAGAGCCAGACATTCCTCCCTGCGCAATCAAGAGGATGTCACTTCAAGTCACAATCAATTTCTCATGTTCCTTGTATGGTTTAGTTTTCAAAAAGCCAGACAAAAGTTCCCCATGTATCTTATATTTTTTAATTCTCTGAATTATTTTGTGAAAGCTCCCTAACGCTTTTAAGAATGGCTCCCCCTTCTGTAGTTCATTAGATTCTCGTATCTGCCTAATAGCTACCTAAAACATGTTTGCACACTTACATGGGAATACAAGTCCCATAGCTTGATTTATGTAGAAGAAACATTACTTGTCAATGTAGTTGAACATGGTATTTTAGGACTATGTTAAGTGTTGAGTTTATAATTGGAAACGTTTTTAGAAAAGAAGTGTTTTTTGCTTCACGACTGAGTGTCTTGGAGACATAATCCGTGACGTGACCTTAGCCCCTTCTGCTAGCTGGGTTATGTTGTCTAAATTATATACTCATAAGACAAAGGTACCAAGTCCCTTTTTCGAAGGTGCTGAAATGCAAATGATACAAAAAATCGTATCATCTGTCGAAGGTTTCTGTATAGAAGGAAATCATCATGACCTTAATTTGGGGACCTGACCATTAGGAAAAGCGAGATTTCAATTTAAGTGAAAAGGGGACATGATTTGGATCTCAAGTTGGACATGTTGAAAAGCCTTCCATATGATTTATTAAATAAAATACTCGTCTTTACCAGCTTGAGGACTCAAGTTGTGTTTTTTTCTTCATACACCCGTACCTACAACCCTGCCAGCCTGTCCCCAAATGTAGTTTGCAGCAGGAACTAGGATTTCCCGATAAGTAAGCAAACCTTCTTTTGATGCTCACTAGAAGCACGTACCTGGGACCAGAGAAAGACCTTTCAGAGTGGAGGGATGTGTTTCCTCATGGAAGACAGTCTTGTCACCCACTCCATCCACAAAGAGACCTGTGAAGTTCAATGGGAAAAGCATCCTGGTGTTCCGTGCCTGCTTTCCCAGTCTACCTTAGCAACAAAAGCATTGCAGTTGGAAGTTGAGCAGGGATTCGGTGATCAATAAGCCTTTTGGGAGGCCATTCACACCAGCCAGTGTGGCATCCCCCGAGAGAAAAGCACGTCTTAGTTGCAAGTATCCTTGCCTTGTTTTAGAGATCTGGGGTGCAAACATCCAGCGACTTCAGCTTACTCCATTGAGTCTGACAGTCCAGCCCACCTTGGTGCTCTGTAGACATCTTGGATTTAGTCTCTCTCTGCCATGGTCCGTGGTACATTTTTGAGTTACCTGCATGCAGCAGCAGCTTTGCCGGGAAGGATGAAGTCTCGTGTGGCCTTTCAAGAAATGCACAAGTGGTTACGTGCACATGAAAATTAATAGCTCCCATGCTAAAGAGAGCTGGATTCTCATGGTTCCAATTAACACTGAATAATGGCACTATGTCTCCCCCCACCCCCCTGCACCCCAGACTTCAGAGACTATAATTAGAACTCAGTGCCTTACAAGCATGCTGTGGAAATGACTGTTGCATTGAAAACTAGTTCCATTGTCCACTGCATTTCTCTCCAGCACCTACCAGAGGTCTCCCAAAGTGACTCTGGCGTATCCCCAAATGGATATGATACCTGTAAAGAAATCTCAGTGTATGTAAGTACCCCTCCGCTCCCAAACCCAATGGTCAATACAACAAGCTTGTAAGAAGCATTTTGTAGATAATCATTTAGTCCTAAACGTGATTTTCCATTCACCACCTTGAAAACTACTTGAGACGCACAAGGCATGAGGTGGCCGGGGTGGGAAGGGTGTGGTTAGGGGCAAGGTCTGGCAAGACTAGAGTGCTCTCCCAGGAGACTGAGGCACTGGGAAGCCATAACTCGGGTTGGTCATTGAAGACCCAACCAGACACCTCGGCAAGTCCTCCTGCAGCGGCCCTTTGACCCGCGCGGGCCCACAGAGCTGCCTGAATGGACCCTCTCTGCCATTCTGTTTCTGAAAAAAAAAACAAACGTGCGGCCAGAGAAATCGTCCGAGACTTCTCATTCCCCCTGCTCC